CAGCTCTAGGAGTGACCTTGCGGAGTTTTTTGGATCACTTATGTAAACGATCATATCATCTGCAAATAATGAAAGTTTGACTTCTTCTTTACCTATTTGTATCCCCTTTATCTTCTTTTGTTGTCTTATTGCTGTAGCTAGAACTTCAAGTACAATATTGAAGAGATATGGAGAGAGTGGACAGCCTTGTCTTGTTCCTGATTTTAGAGGAATTGCTTTGAGTTTCTCTCCATTTAGTTTGATGTTAGCTGTTGGTTTACTGTATATTGCTTTTATTATATGATTTTCTTCTCTATCTCTGTTTTATCATTGGGGCAGCAATACATACATCAGCTGTCCATCATTGTGTCTCCTGTGCCATTCACTTCCGTATTTATTGCTGTGGAAATCTTCTGGCTGTTCTCCCTGTCTGCCCTTTCCTCTCTTTCAGCCTTTTCTGACACTGCCATCTATATAAAACATCACTGCTATTAAGAAAGACAGTTCTGAGTGCTCATATCATTTAATCAATTCTTTTTGCCTTCTAAGTGCTATAATCAGTACCATTTATTCACCCTTTGAGATATGATTATTATTAGTTTTAAGATTAGAGATTGAAGTTCAGGGAGAGGTTGAACACTTACTAAGGTCACATATTTAGTAATAGACAAAACTAAGATTTATACTGAAGTTAGTTCCCATTTTGAATGCCGAGGGACATCAGAATTTAAGATTCACTATTACTACTATAATTTTGTTAGAATGACAGTCATAAACTTGAGTGTTCTAGGCAGGTTGACAAGTGGTCACCTCATTGATACTATTCTGTAGTTCTTTTACAATGGTTATACTTAGGTATATGGGAAGGCTTGAAGAGTTGTCTTCTTTTAAATACAAGTTTTCAAAAGCTAGCACACCAACATTAGGCTTCATTATAATATTTTCAAATTTGTTTTATTCCCTTCCTACACCCCCTGCTTTTCCATTGCCCTTTCTACCCCTAGAAACTTTTTTCATGTTATTTCATGTACTCTATTAACCTCCACCCCATCAAGACCTCATTTCCTCCTCTTATGACTCCCTTTCTAGTTTCACGACCTCTACCCACACTCATACCTACACACAATCATAGACGCAAACACAGACACACAGGGACACCCCCCACAAACAGAACATTAAAGCTAGAATCTGCACATGAAAGATAATGTGCAGACAATACTTTGTCTTTCTAAGTCTAGGTTATCTTTCATAATGTGATAATATCCAAAATTATAAATTTTTATTGGCAAATTTTATATTTCATTATGGCTGAATAAAAATACATTGTGTATTTGTACCATGTTCTCATTATCTGTTGATGGATGTCTAGGCAGATTTTAGTATTTTCTTTCTGTTGTAAATAGAGCTTCAATAAATATGGATATGCAAGTATCTTCCCAGAAGAATGTAGAATCCTTTGGTCAGTGTTTTATTGCTGTGAAGAAACACCATGACCATGAATACTCTTATAAAAGAAAGTATTTAATTGGGGGTTTGCTTACGGTTTCAGAACGTTAGTCCATTGTTCTCATGGTGCAGAGCATGGTAGCATGCGGGCAGACTTGGTAGCTGTAAGTTCTACATCCAGATCCAAAACCAGCAGGAAGAGAAAGAGATTTCGGGCCTGGCTTGGACCCTTGAAACCTCAAAGCCCTTTCTCAGTGACACACTTCTTTCAACAAAGCCATGCCTTCTAGCTGTTTCAAATAGTGCCACTCCATGGTGACCAGTCATTCTGATGTATAAGCCTACGGGGGGCTGTTCTTATTCAAACCGCCATGGCATACACCCAGGAGTGGCATATCCAGGCCATACTGCAGTTCTACTCCAGGTTTTTGTGGTCTCCACACGAATTTGTGTGGTTGCCACACCTGTTTACATTATGCCAGCAGTGAGCAGGGCTACTTCTTTCCTCTCCTCCTCACCACTATTTATTCTTGATGATAGACATTCTGACTAGGACAAGCAGTTTTATTTGAATTTCCCTGATGTTGGAAACCTTTATAATGTTTATTGAGTAGGCCAGCAGGATGGTCTAGCAGGCAAAGCTGATTTCTATCAAGTTTGATAACCACAGTTCAATCCCTGTGACCCACAGGGTAGAAGAGACTCAACTTCTGAAAGTTGTCCTCTTATCTCTACATATTGGCCGTGTTAGGCGTGTGTGTGTGTGTGTGTGTGTGTGTGTGTGTGTGCGCGCACAATGAATAAGTGTGATGAAATATATATTTATTGACCATTTGTATTTCTTTTTTGAGAAGTACTTGTTAAATTGACTGACATTTATTAACTGGAAATTTTGATTTTCTGTTGTTTAATTTTATAGTTCTTTGTATATTCTATGTTTTAATATCCCGCTGTCTTAGTATACTTGAATCCTGGCCTTCTTTACTTCATTAATAGTCCCTCCTGCCATTTGCTTGGGATATATACTTTACTATGTATGGTTTGGAAATTTCCACTAAAGAAAAAGTTGGGGTGACTATAGTGTTGCCATAATTTTATTCTTATATTGCCTGCTGCTCAAAGTTTGTGTTTTGTTGTTGTTCTTACCTGGCTTATGCTTAGAGAAGGTACTATACCAGCTATTCTATTACGTGTAATCTGATGTCTGCATTTTAAAGTACGCTGTACATTTTTATTAATTTTACTTTGCATTCCAGTCAAGCCAAAGGTCTTATGGGTTTATGGAGAAAGGAAGATCAGAAGCAGAGATTTAAAGTAGATCTGTCACTGTAAGTGATCAACTTTCCTTCTATGAACTGAACAGTTTCTTCATGAGGTGAGAGTGGCTGAGTTAATTGTGAGAACGCCTCAGTTGCTGGTACTAAAAATACTTAGGAATATTTGAAAGATACTGTGGCCACACCAACACCCAGAGATTCTGATTGTTGGGCCAGACTTTGTAAGACTTGTTCTAGTAGTGAGCAATCAATTTGAAACACAGAGGGAACGATATCCTCTCCAGACCCTTCAGTCTCAGCTTCCATGGTGATTGGCTTTGACGTTTAAGAAGACAGAACACAGACAAAGGATGGTGAAGGCAGAGGCAGGAGATTGGATGTAGAAGACAGAAAAGATAAAGGCCAACCAAAGAGGCAGTTGGGAGAAGGGGTCAAAGAGAACAGAAGAAGGCAGAGTTGGAATTTTGACTAGTCAGTAACTTAGAGAGAGGCTGCTTTGGAGGGCAGTTATGCTATCCTGAGGGATTTTTTTTTTTGGTTACCATTAAACTTAAATGAGATGATAGGGAGGGTAATAAGAATTCTTGTTGATTTCTGATTAATATTAATTACTATTAATTCCTGGAATTGAAGTCTGAACAAACCTTTCAATATGCTAAAATATAACAGCCTTGCAAAATCTTCTCACCTGTATTCAATTATCAAAACTATTATTAGACATTACTTGTCATTTTTAAAGACACTGCCTTATGGGTTTCAGTGGGCCCCATAAAGAAGTTGATCTAATGGTTAGGATAAAGACTGAATTGGGAAGACTTGGATATAATTGTGGGCTTTGAAACACACCATCTTTCATGCAGAGGTCCAGACTTCAACAATGGAAACAAGAGCTGTGATAAGGAATGAACAAATTATTTTTAAAAACTTTCTTTTATTATTTTGAGATTATAATATAATTTACATCACCCCCTTTCTATTCCTCCCTCTAAATGCTCTCCTTGCTCAAATTCATGTCCTCATTTTCATTACATTATGTGTATGTATTACTTTTGTTATACATACACATAAAATATATATATATTTAAATACTTAAGCACAAAAGTTATGTTTTTGAGTGTTTTGAATCTTGGCAGCCAGGAGTCAGCGCAAGGGCACAGTATTAAGAAGTAGTAATTGCTTTCACAATATTTTTTTCCTTGAATACTATTGGGTAACTATGAGCTGAAAGAAAAAATTGCTTCAAAAAGCCAAATTATCAATTCTCCAGAAAAGAAACATGTTGCTTCCTTTGGGAAGGTAACTCTGAGGGAGTGATCCCGAGGGAGACTGTCTTCATAATCAGGCCACAGAGAGTGGGAACCAGAATGACTGTTTATTCTCCTGTTACCACAGGTCAGGACACGAGCTGCCTCCTTCCAGGAAGCTGGAGGGGCTGTTTGATAAATTAACAGTTGTACGTCAAGGAGACTATTGCAAAGAGAATTATAAGATAAATCCAAGGTTCTGAACTTCGACTTGGGAGAGGAGGTCTGGAGTCCCGAGCTGCTGTCTTCTATTCACCAGGTCTTTGTCTCCCCCAGAACACTTCTGAGGAGAGACAGTAGGCAGAACATCCCTGCTGCAAGTAAAGGAAGGTATGTGCCTGTCTGACTCTGGTCAGACGTGAAACACAGGTTATAAATGCAGACTATCGATGGGACTGCCAGAGGTCCCCTTCTGCCTGCAGTCGGGAGCGTTTGTGACTTTGGGTGTTTCATAGTCACACTTCACTAATCTGTAAAGTGACAATAATAGTATGGTTGTATAGTCTTATAGCTTCTCACAGTAACTTCTAAATAAGTGTTGGAGGGTAATGCTGTTATTCACCCTTCATGCAGTTGAGTAAAGAGATTGTGAGAAACCCAATGTCATACTTTCATTGTGCAGATTGAGACATAGCTCTGGTGACATCTGGTGACAAGACTCACCCAAGGGAAAAGGCTCCAGTTTTAGCAACTTGCACAGAGGCAGGAAAGGGGAGGACATAGCAAATGAACTAAATTCAGAGTCTAAAAGATGCCCACTCTGTTCAGTATTCCTCTTTTGGATACCACCTACTCTTATCGTGGAGGCAAAGTGTAGCCTTTGGCTGTCATTTGGAAACTAGAGTCACTTGGCAGTTCTTCACTAGCTGTGGAAAATGGTAAAAACCTTTATCCCTTCACCCTCCCCATCCTTTTTCAAAGACAGAATAGGCTTGTGAGGATGGTGATTATGTTTCCTTTTCTCCACTGGTCCTCTTCTGTCATGCAGGTCTCCCTTCTGAGAAGAATGACTGCCAAGAATTCCTCTGTGACAGAGTTCATCCTGGCAGGCCTGACAGACCATCCAGGACTCCGCATGCCTCTCTTCTTCCTGTTTCTAGGTTTCTACATGGCCACTGTGGTGGGGAACCTGGGCTTGATCTCACTGATAGGGCTGAACTCTCACTTGCACACCCCCATGTACTTCTTTCTCTTCAATCTTTCTGCAATAGATTTCTGTTACTCCTCCACCATCATCCCCAAAATGCTGATGAGTTTTATCTCAAAGAACATCATCTCACACCCAGGGTGTATGACACAGCTCTTTTTTTTCTGTTTCTTTGTTGTCTCTGAGTCCTTCATTCTGTCAGCCATGGCATATGACCGTTATGTTGCCATCTGTAACCCCCTGATGTACACAGTCACCATGTCTTCTCAATTGTGTTTTCTCCTTTTACTGGGTGTGTATGTGATGGGTTTCTCTGGAGGCATGGCCCACACAGGAAACATAATGAATCTGACCTTCTGTGCTGACAACCTTGTCAATCACTTCATGTGTGACATCCTTCCTCTTCTGGAGCTGTCCTGTAACAGCTCCTTCACAAATGAGTTGGTAGTCTTCATTGTTGTGGCTTTTGATATCGGTGTGCCCATTGCTACCATCTTCATTTCTTATGCCCTCATCCTCTCTAGCATTCTTCACATGCATTCCACAGAGGGCAGGTCCAAGGCCTTCAGCACCTGCAGCTCCCACATGATTGTGGTTTGTCTATTCTTTGGTTCTGGGGCTTTCATGTACCTCAAGCCACCTTCCATTTTGCCCCTTGACCAAGGAAAAGTGTCTTCCTTGTTCTACACCATTGTGGTGCCCATGTTGAACCCTCTGATCTATAGCTTGAGAAATAAGGATGTCAAAGTTGCTCTGAGGAAAACCCTTGTCAGGAGAGTATTTTCTTAACAGAGCATTAATGTCATGAACTGCAGTGGTGTGTTTTGACAATGAGCTGTATTCCTATGGAAGAGTCATGTTTGCAAATGAAGATACAAGGTTGTCATGAGAGTCTCAAGGTCTAGTTGTTTTCTTCTTGTAGGAGAAGAGAAGTTTATGGTCCTAGGGAGTGTTTCTAGGTCTTTATGGATGCTGGGCAATTTTCTCACCACCTTGCTACATTAGGGCCAGAAACAGCATTCCAAATTTTATATTTGAGCAAGATTTCAACACAGCTTTGCTGTTCCCGACCCTTGGTCTGCCTTTAGTCTTCCAATGTTTCTTTTTTTTTAATGAGAAAATGTACTTCTTGAAAATGCACAAATACATAATAAGCTGTTATTTTCTCTTTTATTCATAAACTTTGATTTCATGCAACTTACAAATGTTGAGGAAATAGCAACGTTTCATGGTGTTAGCATAACTAGGGTTCACAGCCTGTGTCCCATCAAGGCAGGCTTTGTAATTTATACAATTTTTAATTTTATGCAATTTTGTAGTCACAGACTGTTTATTATTGAATGAGCTTTATAAATTTCATGTAACAGATATTGGAGGCTTAGAAATATATTGTTATTCAAACATAACAAACTCTTATCAAATGTAAACTCATAACCAGAAAGTTGAATTCATGTCTTTTTATGGTTTGTCTTTATGCTGTGTTTTCTTGTCATGATTTCCTTTTATTAATATTTTTCAAATTATTTTCTTTATTTAAATTAAAATATAATCATATCTTTACCCATTCTCTTTCCTCACTCCACCCTCTCCTATGCACCCACTTAATTTTTCAAATTCATGACCCACTTTTCTTTAATTGTTGTATATTGCTAAGTACAAAAATGCAAATTGTTTAGTCTGTATAGTATTATCTATATAGTATATGGTATAAGATGTCAGTGACAACCCCTTGGTAAGATTTCCTTTTAAAAACATGATAGTACATTGAAAGTTGATTCTACTTACAATAAGGTAGTATAACTTCTTCAAAAGCAATTTTTGGGGCAGTGTTGACTCAGTGGTTAAGAGCACTTGATGCTTTTCTTGAGGACCTGCACACAATTCTGAACATCAGGTTGAATGACTCCCAACTGCCTGTAGCTCTAGCTCTAGAGAATCTAACACCTTCCTTTGGTTTGCAAATGTATCTACACCTCTCTTCCTCCTCCTCCTCCTTCTCTCTCTCTCTCTCTCTCTCTCTCTCTCTCTCTCTCTCTGTCTCTCTCTGTCTCTCTCTCTCTCACACACACAGATATTACACAGAGGTATTAAAAACATCTTTAAAAATTAAGCAAAATTTCAATACTATGTTTTAGATAGGAGAGGAAGAATTTCTGTATTTTTAGCCAAGTGAGAATGGAAACATGATTGTATTATGTGTTTGCTATTGACTTAAGATTGGAAATTCATATGTGGAACAAGCAACTTCAGTCTCATTCGTTAGGTCTCCTAGGGTTTTAATTGTTATAAAGATGCCTAAAATAAAGTTATATAGATTTAAAGACAAACTAGCAGAATTTAGAGCTTTTTGGGTGTAAACTTGGGCATTTGAGCATTGATGGAGAAATCTGTGGCTCAGGATAAACAACTGATTGTGAGTTGTAAGAGAACAGTGAATCAATTTTTGGGGGATGAAGTTGTTTATCAAGACAACATGAAAAAGCTACTTATTAGAAGTATTTGCATTGGATTTTTAAGGAAATTCTAATCCAATTAGTATCTTAATTTTTTAATTTAGCATTTTTATTCAATATTTTCAGTGCTATGGTAGGAGGATTTATGTGAGAATCCAAAGTACTAGATAGCTAGAAATACGAATTAAAAAATGAATGTTGATGCAAAAACACTCAATAAAATACATACAAACCAAATCTAAGAACACACCAAAGAGATCATCCACCATGATTCAGGGGGCTTCATCCCAGAGATGCAGATGGTTCAACATATAAAAATCTGTCAACATAATCCACCATATAAACTAACTGAAAGTTAAAAAAAAAGACATGATCATCTCATTAGACGCTGAAAAAGCCTTAGACAAAATATATCACCTCTTCATGATAAAAGTTTTGTAGAGATCAGGGATACAAGGAACATAAATATAATAAAAGTAATATACAGTAACCTAACAGCCAACATCAAATTAAATGGAGAGAAACTCAAATATTCCACTAAAATTAAGAACAAGACAAGGCTGCTCACTCTCTATATCTATTCAATATAGTACTCTAAACTCTAGCTAACGCAATAGGACAACAAGGAGATACAAACTGGAAAAGAAATCAACACCTAGGGCAGGTGGGAGAGATGACCCTGTGGTCATAAGAGTGGGAGAACTGCCCCTGACCCTCATCAGCTGCCTAAGCCCTGAACTTCACCAGGGAAGCACAATAGAGCCAACCCTGCCAGCGCAGGTGTGGGTGAGCCAGCCTCAAAATTGTGATCATGGGAAAGAACTCCCCATTGCTCATCTGCTTTGTGGTGGCAGGTGGGGGAATGATGCCCTTCCTGCTGCCCATCAATATCTAAGGCAGGTGGGAGAGCTGGCCCTGTATCTCACCAGGGCAGCACAATAGAGCCAATCTGTTAGAGCAGGTGTGGGTAAGTCATCCCTGAAGTAGTAAGCATGGGGAACTGTCCCCATTTCTCAATCTTCCCCGCTCATCAGTGCCTGGGCCAGGTGGGAGAACTGGCCCTGTGCTCCTAAGAGTGGGAGAGTCAACCCTGTTAGCACAGTGAGCCAAACGGAAGTTGTAAACATGGGAGAGATGTCCCCATTCACATCTGGTGGACCCAACCCTATAACTGCCCAGGTCTGGATCCAAAGTTATGACTTGCCATGACCCAACATCCATCCCATCTATGATCTCCTGTTGCATTTGAAGGGACCTGATCTGCAGACCAAAAGCTGCAGTATTTCCACAACACAGGGCAACAACAGGCTACTCAGGAAGAGTGCCAGAGAGGGCCCAGCATCAATAGTGTAGTAGAAACCAGAGGCCCCGGACCAGACCAATGACTCTGCAACAAACACTTGCAAGTAAAGGTATATGGACAAAGGAGTTGACATTGTGACTCACTGTGTCATACTGCAGCTTCCATACAAGAGTTTAAATTTTTCCCTTTTAAATTTTGTTTTATTGGGGGAAAGTAGGGGCAGAGGGTGAATTCTAAGGGAAGGGGAAATGAATGAGATCAAGATAAATGATGTAAAAGATACATAGAATAAGTAAGTAAAGAAATAAATAAAAAGATCAAAGTATTATTATTTGCAGATGACATGATAGTGTACATAAATGACCCAAAAATTCTACCAGGGAACTCCTACGGTTGATAAACACCTTTAGCAAAGTTGCTGAATACAAGATTAACTAAAAAAAATTAGTACCCCTCTTATATACACATGATAAAAGGGCTAAGAAAGAAATCAGGGAAAAAAACATCCTTCACAATAGCTACAACAATATAGAACATCTTGGAGTAACTCTCACCAAACAAATGAAAGACCTGTATGACAAGAACTTCAAGTCTTTGAAGAAAGAAATTGGAGAAGATATCAGAAGATGGAAAGATCTCCCATGCACATGTGTCAGTAGGATTAACATAGTAAAAATGGCCATCTTACCAAAAGCAATAAATGCAATTCCCATCAAAATTCCAACACAATTCTTTACATACCTTGAAAGAATAATATTCAGCTCTATGTGGAAAAACAAAAATCCGAGAATAGCTAAAACATCCTGTACAATAAAAGAACTGTTCGAGGTTTGACCATCCCTGATCTCAAGCTCTACTGCAGGGCTATAGTAATAAAACCTACAAGATATAGGCATAAAAACAGACAGGTGAGTCAATGGAATCGATTTGAAGACTGAGACATACATCCACATACCAAAGGACACTTGATTTTTGACAAAGAAGCCAAAACAATACAATGAAGAAGATAAAGCATCTTCAACAAATAGTGCTGGCATAACTGGATGTTGGCATGTAGAAGAATGCATAAAACTTAAGCCCAAGTGGATAAAACACCTCAATATAAATTCAGTTATACTGAACCCGAGAGAAGAGAAAGTGGTAAACAGTCTTGACTGTACCGACACAGAAGACTTCTTGAATATAACACCTGTAGCATAGATACTAAGTTCAATAATTAATAAATGGGACCTCATGAAACTGAAAAGCTTCTGTAAGGTAAAAGATACCATTAATAAGACGAAAGGGCAGCCTACAGTGTGGAAAAAGATCTTCACCAACACCATATTCTACAGACGGCTGATATCTAAAATATGTAAAAGAACTAAACAAACAAACCAAAAAAAAACTAGACATCAAAAAACCAAACAATCCAGTTTAAAAATGGGGTACTGACCTAAACAGAGAATTCTCAACAGAAGAATCTCAAATGGCAGAGAAACACATAAAAAATGTTTATCATTCTTAGCCATCAAGGAAATGCAAATCAAAATGACTGAGATTCTATCTTACACCTGTCAGGATGGCTAAGATCAAAACCACAAATGATAGCTTAAGCTGGAGAGGATGTGGAGCAAGGGGAACACTCCTCCATGGCTGGTGGGAATGCAAACTTGCATGGCCACTTTGGAAATCAATGTGGTGTTTTCTCAGAAAGTTGGCAATCAATCGAATTCAAGACCCAGCGATGGCACCCTTAGGTATACACCCAAAGGACTCTCCACCATACCACAAAGACACTTGTTTAGCTACGTTTATAGCTACTTTATTTACAATAGCCAGAAACTGAAAACAACTTAGATGCCTCTCAATCAAATAATGGATAAAGAAAATGTGGTACATTTACACAATGGAGAATTACTAGGCTATTAAAAACAATGACATCGGGTAATTCATAGGCAAATGGATAGAGTTAGAAAAGATCACCCTGAGTGAGATAACCCAGACCAGAAAGACAAACATGGTATGTATTCATTCATAAGTGGATATTAGCT